CTCTCTCTCTCTCTCTCTCTCTCTCTCTCTCTCTCTCTCTCTCTCTCTCTCTCTCTCTCAAACACATTTAAATTAAAATAGTAAATTAGAGATATAGTTTAAGTTACTAATTCAATAAAAATTCAATAGTGATATATACCTCTACTTGCGTTCCTAAAGTAGGCCAGTCCCCAATGTTCGTAAAATCGCTTGCCTGTTGCAACAAAAATTTACAAAAAAAATATGTATATGTCACATTACCGGTATATAACAGCGCATCTTACAACATATTAAATTTCTAATCTTCTATATGATATAATACAATGCATTTCATTTATAGAAATTATTGAAAAGAAACGTTTTATCATGCAAATGCACTTTATATCAGATGTACTTTAATAAAATTCTTTTATTAACTTAGACTTGAGTTTTATCTATCTTTTCAGAAAAATTAAAAAAATAATTGCAAAGATTGAAAAGACAATAGTGATGAGATAACATTTCGATTTCTGAAAAAAGGCGCCAAAATTATTTTGATACATAATGTAAATTCTGTTTTAAGATTGTTGATTTAAAAAAAAAAGTAGATAAAAGTATTTTCTTTTTTTTTCTTTTTTCTTTTTAATATAAGTAGAAAAAAACGAAGTTCTTTTTAAACAATTTATTTTTGCTAACACTTTTCTTTTTTCAGGCTCCTTCCATTCGTACCTCAAAATATTGACATATAATTCTAAATTTCATGCTATATATGTCTTCTTAAATAATAAATATATGGTGCCAGATACATTTTTTACCGCCGATATTTGATAAAAATTTTTTTAACTCAAAAAGTTAAACTCTTTTAACTGGAAAATTTCTTAACTCAAAACTTCAATTTGTTGTGAGACTTGCATCTATCTATTAATATGAGTAAATCATTAATATATGAGTATATTTATTATTCTAGTGCAGTTTTTCAAAAATATTTGCATTTAATCATTTATTATACATTATAAATGATATCTATCATATCAATAAAAAAGTATCTCTTAAGTTTACGGTATAATCGTGCACGCTATAAAATTGCTTATCTTTTCAGATAGATATGTATATGCGTATTAAATGGATAAAAGAAGATAAAAACAAAAATATGTTACATACGTTTTGATTAAATTTCCTCCTATCTCTGGGAGCCCTGACAATTGTAGGCTGGGCACCGCTCTCGACACCATTTTCTGCGAATAAAAAAAGGATGTTTACATAAACATAAAAAGAAAAGATAAAAATTATATAAAATTGTACATAATAAATTTCTATTGATATAAATTGATATCACATGAAATTCGTGATAAAATATAATATATAATTTTTCCATGATTAATCAGAGAAAGAATTTTATTGCTAATATGCAAAAAAACATGTAAAAGATACGTAGAAATATTTCAATAAGCAGGCAGGTCGCTATGGTTGCAATAAAAAATATCGTATCTCAGAAACTTGAAACGCATTTAATAATTCAGGATCGCGCATCGAATATTTTTTTTTTTTTTCAAAAGCTGTCTCTCCAAATAATTATATCTTTATTGGTTCCTTCGCGTAACCTGTTCCAAACTGCGTGACCTCGATTATCTTTATCGCACACATACGTGCGTGTTCCTCGAATATTTTTATCTGCGACATCCGACATCGAGTCGGAGGTGGGAGACAGAATAAATACAAGATGCTGAACGAAAAATTTCTTTTTTATTTACTCCAATTTATTGTTTATTAACTATATTATTTCTTCTTTTTATAAAATTCTTTATAATTCATGATCATTACCGCTATAAATAAAATATTTAATTTTATAATAAATATTAATTAAAAGCCTCAAGAGAGAACCATATGGTACTCGTAATCGCGATGACAACAAGGTCATTAAAGCAAGAATTAATTTGATAATTGAGACGTCAAAGTAGCATATTATATCACCTTAAAAGTCATTGTAAATAATGAAAACAGTTTACATTGTATATTAACGTTACTCGCAACGCGATTTTTCTATATTTGAATATTCCTCACAGATTAGTTTCTCTTTTCCTCTTCATTTTCTTATTTGTTTTTAAATTTTAAGCGAAATGTGTAGATTTCTGCCGATTTTTGCCTGAATTGAAAAGTTTGATTTTATTGTTATGGTTATTATGTTTTAAAGTTATTTTAAAGTTATTTTTACGTCTAATTTTTACTTATAGTTGTCTGTGTTTTTACACTTAATATTTACGCCTAATTTGTTTCCGCGCCAAGAAGCCAAGTAATTATGGCAAATTGCCCGTACAACTATCAACGTGGGCGTTCAAAATAATAAACAATGACTCAAATACAATTTAAGTTCATTCTTTTCCAGAATGTTTTTTTTCTATTTTATATCTGAGTAACTATCTTTAATAAAAGTAAAAGGTACAAATAAAATAAAGCTTTTGCTTGCCGAGGGTTAAACTAAAAGTATAAACATTTATAGTTATATATTAGAGGCATGACTACGTGATATATAATCAATTTTAATATCTCCGTCCAAAGTAATATAAAAAATATTTGTAATGTTAGATCAGGATGCGATAACATGTGTCACGAAGTAATAATCTCACGAAAGCCTATCACGATTTGACGTGATTTGAATGTTGCCGAAAGTTATAGATCAACAATATACAATGCTCGTATTTGTAATTTCTTATTCGTTGATAAAAACTAGAATATAATCGCAAAGTATAAGCGCAAAATTTAATTTAGTTAAATAATGGATAAGTAAATCAATAACATAGGTATGATAGATAAGACTTGCCTTCAGCAATCCAAGAGCAATAAGAACATATAAATTCCTATGCCATTTGCCCATACTTTTGCAAAAAATTAAAGTCAAACAAAGAAAAGTTCAGAAATTGTTTATTTTTTAAATCCAAATTTATCGCCACTTTAAAGAGAACACAGTTAAAAAATTGTAGAGCAAAACTACCTGTGTCTCTAATCCCCCTTTTTTCATCAATGTTATATTTTTTTATACACTTAAACTTATAACAATATTTTTGCGATAAAATTTAAATAAAATTTTATATAACGTGTGCACATGAAGAAATTTATTAAAAAAGAGGGAAAAAGATTGATATTTTTATTTTTTTAAGTACATCCGCATTCTCGGTCATTTAGACATCACCGCTGTATCGCAAACTACATAACGTGCATAATAAGGCAGATAGCGATGATGACGTCGACTCACGTTTAAAAGTGCCGTTTTCACTTTCGTTTATCTTCATCGCGTCGCGTGCACGCGACTTCCCGCGACTCAATTTAACAATTCGAGTCGTTCCGTCGCGCGGTGTCGCGCGCAAGTTATAGCCTAATTAAATCACGATCTTAATTGCATCAACAATGAGAGTACCGGCGGAGAGTATCGCGCAAACATAAACTTCACGACCTCACGTATATCTCGATGTGACAGACGATGCGTCGCAGTCGCGACGGACATAGCCGCGAGTACAGATGATATTCGTCGCGAACGTCTCTCTGTTCGACGAGTCTCGCTTCCCTCGATAAAAAAATTTAACGGGCGAACGCGGTCGAGCGGCCTCCTCATTTCTCCTTCCTCGACGAAGTCGAACGCGACGGAGTCGCAACCATTACGAGTATCGGAGCACGGTACACGCTCTTCCTCGATGTAGAGTCACCGCGTATCTCGCGATCGATGCAATTGCGCGACCGAGCGCAATGTGATTGACGCTCAAGTCGCGACTCGAGTGTCGACGAGCTACTGAGAGCCGGCTGGTTCGAAAAGCGAATCGACAGTCACGAAGACGGCAGACAGAGCCGCTCGCGACTGCTTTCAACATAGATCGTACGGAGTACGGCTCCTACCTTCTGGATACAGAAAGGAAAATGGATACAAAATGGATTTCGTTAAAAAATAATTTCGTCATATTTCTTTTTCGTCGTCGCAGATATTTGATGACAGATATTTTTAAACGAACGGAGTCTCTCTCTCTCTC